TCCTCATGGGATATCGCTAACCCATACAACATGATGGATATAACCCAAGATATCCCAAGCTGCCTGTGAGGCGCTAGAAGGTTAATAATCATGTGACTTATCCCATCGGGTACCCATTTTCTGCTGGGTGAACCGAACCAATTTTCAAAAAACTAACTTGCCTGTATTGAGACCACACATGTCACGGGTGCTTCGTTGTGGGGCAGGACAGTCCAAACACGGTCACCCACCCAAACACGACTCTCTGCGCCCAAGGCTACTTATGCTTAAGTACTGTCGGCAATTTTTAAAAAACCCTGTTTTTTCGCATTGATATCTACAACTTATGTAGTTAATATGTGTAAGTGTGAAATATCTGTTAAACTAAGTTCGGCCTAACTACAGTCTCAGTGGTAGGGAGATAGGAAACGTAGAAAAATGACTTTACTGAGGAGAGATTAGTGCAGAATGAGAAATGCGTTTTTTTTCCCCTAGTCCAAAGCGACTTATTTGGAACAGGCCATGGCTTTATGCAAATTAGTGTGCGATGATATTATATTACAAAGGACAATTTGTAAATGTCCATTTTGAAATTAAACTTAGCTTCATTATAAAGATAGCTGACGTAAAAAATAAGAACTTTAATACTGAAACTATTAAGGATGAAGCTGCCATGGAGTCTCACTATCACTATAAAAAGAAACAGGTAGGAGGGGGTCGTCTCAAAAGCAAACCCAGGACGGGTGTCGCTGACGGTGGTTGGGATCGGGCTGAGGGATAGAGATATAAGCTGAGATAAGATAATCCTTTAGGGGAATTAAACTGGGAAGCAAACGGCATGTCATAACAATTTACAAATAATATCCAGTCCTGTCGATCTTCGGGTGGTCATGCCACCTATATATTTTGAGACATTTAATACGGTGGCTGATTAGGCTTTTCCATGGGTATCATACCCTTTTAGGTATCTCAACATAAACTTTATGATCAATAGATGAGACATATTCAACATACATGAAAAAGCATATAATGTCTTTGAGATGACCCCTTGTGCTTTACGCAGGACGTGCATTTCATGCCAGGTGAGTCGACGGTTCGTCATCATACCTGGCCGAGCAACCTAATTGCCATCTATAGTCCGATCTATTGTTTTGAGCAGCTATTCGTATTTTTTCAAATTTTTGCCCGCTTTTACGAGTAAACATGCTTTTCTTGATATCTTGATACGCAACTCACATTGCTGTCAAGAAGCCACCCCAAACTGGCAGCCTGTACCTCCATTACAAGGACTTCTTTTCGATACAACTCCCAGCTCTGGTGGATGAAGATTGCAAGTTTGTGAGGATCGAGTTTGGTTGAAAAGGACATATGTCAGCTGCCCATGTCAGCTCAACAGTGTTCAGATATTGGGCGACTATTAAGTGTCTGCTGTTCAAACTTCAACGGCCTTATGTTTGGAGGTGGTTTAATTTTTATTCCAATTTTCAATGGGTCAGACAGACTGAAACACCCCCACTCTGCCCTCTGACTGCACACCCCTCTGGTGACCACTGGTGACCACAAGACATGTCGACCGACCCTGACTGGGAGGCTGTCTGGTGGGGGTGGGGGTGAGACCGCTTGGAGGGGTGGTGTCAGAAACAACTGGTGGTGGTAGAGACAACTACAGAGTTTTGGCTGGTGGAGAGTGTGAGTTCAGTGCCACCGGCACTTGCTGCTGCTGCTGCTGTTATAAAGGAGGATACATTTCGGGCATCCGCCGTCTCAATGTGTGCTGTTCATGTCAGTAAAGGCATCTCCAAATTTTCTTAACTGTCCAAAATTTGTCTACGAGCAACACGATTGCCACGACTGACCTCAAGATCTGATAAGATCTGATAGGATCACCACGATTAGTCCAAGATTAAGACCTCCTTTCAACCGTGGCGTGAATCGTGATAGTGTGAACACAGCATTAACTTCAGCTGATTTTAACCTGAGCTTTATGCACAAGAACACATTCCACCATGATTAAATGTTGTGTTAGCAGCTTCCAATGTTAGCCACCCAAACCCTTACCAACATAAGATATGAGCAGTGTGATTGCATAAGAATGATGTTTTTCTGACATATTCCTACGAGTTTGCTCTTGCTGGACACGAAAGATGATGTCCCACACGCGTAGATCCTGATGTGGATGTGCGACAGGTATGGATGTGGGTATGGATGTGGATGTGGATGTGGATGTGAGTGTTGGAGAGGTTGTGTGTAGGGTCACGTGAAAAGCGGGTGAGCGTGTAAGTGTTGCTTGTGGGGATGGGGCAGGTTAGGGTACAGCGTTCGAAATTAACGTAGGCCCTTAGGCCCGAAGTCGACTGAAAACCACTCGGACTTTTGTTTCCTGCAGGTCCTTATGGCCGACAGCTTTTTCATCCCCAATAACTGACACATCCCTGTCAGAACATTCTGATTCAGAAGACTTAGATCTTGACATGGATGTTGATTTTGTTGTAAATAAGGACTAGTCAGTCACTAGTGCCGACAAAGTTATTGATTCATTTACCTGTGCTCCATCCTTTCTCGCACACCTGGCTGTTCCTGTCTTTGCACTTCTCCCTCGTAACAAATAGTGAACTGTGTAAATATTTTAATGACAGTTTGTTAAACAACTTTTTTATTATGACATAAATTCTGCAAAAACCTCACGGAGTTGGTCTGATGTTTTGGTTGCGATCAGCGTTTTATTGAGTATTATATGTTTATTAGTTTTCGAGTTAGATTGCAATTCATCGGTCCGCTTTTGAGCCAAACGGACTATAACAATGCTGTTTACGATCTTCGAAGACCTGGCAGACCCTGTAATACAACAATAAGAGAGGATAAAGCATTACTGAGATTTCTTAGGCACCGTTCATGGTACTCAAGCACATCGTTAAGGCACCGGTGGTTACCAGGGAAACCCTTTTCCTGCAGGATCTTCAGGAATCGGCTGAAAGCAGCAGGATACAGACCCATCAAGTGTATAAAATATTCCAGCTCACAAAGCAGCACGACTTTCCTGGTGTAATCAACGTGTTCGCTGGAACATTGCCTCATGGCAGGCGGTTCACTTTTCCGAGGAGAGTCGTTTCTTATTGCCTATGGTGGATGGTCGTACACGTGTAGGGAGACAAAGCTATGGTTCCCAGGAGACAGTTCCCTTTGGGGGGAGGGTTAATCATGGTATGCGGATGCATTTCCTTTGGTAGCAAGATGGACCTCATTACCATTTGTGGTAACCTTAGTGGGCCTCGGTAGCAACTGGAGATCTTTGAGAGGGCTGTTGTCCCACATTTTAATAACCATCCTCTTGCCACAAGACATATCTTCATGGGTGATGATGCCAGACATCACAGAGTACGTGCAGATCTCAATCCCCGTGAGTATCTGTGGGACATTTAACGGTCCTGTTCGAAAGACACGCGTCAAGACCCTCAAGGAATTGACTACTGTTTTGCATGAGGAATGGAACAGGATTCCTCAGAATCAAATCCGGAGATTGATCCAACAAATGGGGAGGCATCTTGAATCAGTTGTCCGTGTGCAGGGGAGGTTATGCAAGATACTGATTCGATACCCCGCATAAGTACAATATGTGAAGCCCATTTCTGGTATCCCTCACCATGATATTGTTGGAAAGTTGCTAAAAGCGGGGTAAAACCATACCCACTCACTCACTACTATAACTGGTTTGTGTGTGTATCCAACACAAATTATTGCATTTCATGATCTACACTTACTAACTGTATTTTGCTTGGCTTTTAGTGTATTATGGGCTTCAACACAAATTATTGGGATTTGAACCGGGTCTTTCATGATCTACACCCACGCCCTCATGATAATTTGTTAAGCTGTTTGTTTATCACCAAACAGAAACATTCCTGTGAATAGTAAAGTCTCAACCAGAAAATCCACTGACTGACATCATGAGCATCGACAGGGCGCAATGTTCACAGTGACAAGAAATAATAAAAACAAATTCTTTATTGATTCCCATCAGACTGAAACATCAAGGCTTGTGGGAGAAGGGAAATACACAATTTAATATGGACAGTCTCCTGTTTTGTCTGTTTGTTGTTTAACACTGCTATGGTGATCAATGGCATAAGCATCGAAATAGGATACGATGACATGTGTCAACCAAGTCAGTAGGGCTGGATATTTTCATATTGCGGTATATTGCAATAATTTAAGAGATATTGCAATACATATTGTGATATATTGACTGGAAGGTTTCTACCCAAGTTCATACATAATAAATTGATAATAGCTCTCTGTGTGCGACATCATCTTCTCAGTTGCTGTTACACCATACTTTCTGGACTGTTCCCATTGTGTATGGCTGTATGCCAATCATTTACAGATAAATAAAATAATATAGAGCCTTAATGTGGAATATATTGCACCAACGTTTTGCGAACATAATGATAAAGGTAATAGTATAACATGATTTTCATAGTCAGTGTTGTGTTTAAACAGAATGCACTTCAGTGCAGTATATATCTATATTGTTACTGTATGTGATTCATTCAGATTCAAAGTGTTAACATGAACTATGGCCCAATGAAACAAAAACAAGATTTAGTTGAACTAGTTGAGATTAAAATCGCATGTGACCTCCAATAGCAAATATCCTTGACTGGAATGTCATTATACAGTCCCACATATTTTCGAAGACTCAGGCCTGTAGGATAAATTGATATCATATGCCCCATTATGAAACAAACAAAAATAACAAAATACTGTGAACTTTGAAATGGTCACTCAGAGCCAGAAGCTCTACTAATAAGTCCAAATAAAACTTGGACCATTTGACGCCACTTAATTCCTTCAAATGAAACCATTCAAACCCACAAAATGTACCGTATTTGGTAGACTATTTGGCAATTCTGGAGCCACTTATAATGACACTTCCACTTGTAAGATTTTACATGAAACCAACAGAAATAGAAGTATATTTGGCACTTTTAGAGCACATTTATTTGCTATGGAACTCAAGGGCAGATAATTCCAATGGAGCTAACTCTGGATGACCCAATATATTGCAGAATCTGAACCATATCACGATAATCGTATCGTGAGATACTGTACCGGTTGTATACCGGTTTACCAGTAATATTGCACAGCCCTATCAGTAAGCATAACCACCCAATCCAGTCGCCTCTTACAACAAGCATGGGTGGCTGCAGATCAATTCTAACCACTCCACTACATGTTATTTAATGTCAAGAAGTACACAGTTTCCTTGATAGGTTCACCAGGTTTAATAAGTTCTCCATGTTGAGATTTTATATGCTTCTTGCAGCCATGATGAGACTTGAATGTTTTCTCACAATAACTACACGAGTATGGCGATTCTCCTGTGTGAGTTCTGATATGAGACTGGAGATGTCCCAGCAAGAAGAATCTCTTACTACAATCCTTGCACTCAAAAGGTCTGTCATCGGTGTGAAATATCATGTGGCGCTTCAACATGCATTTCGTGGCAAATTTTTTCCCGCAAACCTCACACGGAATTGTCTTTTCTCTCCCACCAGTGTGCGTGTACATGTGCTCTTTCAGATTAAAGTCACGGAGAAAACTTTTCCCACAATCCTTACAAGAGAAAGATTTCTCTCCGTGGATCATTTCATGCTGACTTAATTCTCCCGCTCGCGAGAAACATTTCCCACACACTGAACAACGGTGAGGTTTGACTCCAGTATGATTGGACATATGAGATTTGAGTCCTTTCTTTGAAGCATATTTTTTGTGACAAGTGGCACATGTGTATGGCCGTTCACCTGTGTGTGTTCTCCTGTGTTCCTTTAATTGGAAAGTGCTGGCAAAATTTTTGTTGCAATCGGGACATTTTATCGTCTTTTCAATAGGAGTTTCTGAATGGCTTTTAATGTGTTTCTTGAGGACCGATATCCGCGAATAACTCTTTCCACATATTTGACACTGGTAAATCTTTTCAGCGGTATGAACATCCATATGTGTTCGTAAGGCGCTTGCAGAGTGGAAACTTTTCACACAGCGATCGCACTGAAACTGAAGCTTTTCGTCTGGATTGTGAACATGACGATGCATCTGCAACACTGACTGAGAGTGAAATGCCTTCCCACACACTTCACAAGCAAACTTCTTCTCAGTGTGAGACACCATGTGGACCTTGAGGTATGAAGCAACAGCAAAACCTTTTCCACATTTCTCACACTTGAAGGGTCTCTCATCCCGAATGGGTTTTCATGTGCCTTCTATGCGCTCTCGCCCAGGCAAACGTCTTGTCGCAGTAAAGACATTTAAGAGGTCGTTCTCCCGAGTGTTTTCTCATATGCTCCTTCATGGCATGATTGCTGATGGACTTTTCACAAAGTTTACAATAAGAAGATTTATGTGTAGGACCGAACCCGACATGTGACTGCCGATGTTCGATCAGGTGACTCCGACGACCGTATGTCTTGCCACATACATTACACTTGAAAGGTCGTAGGCCCAGGTGGACTGTGTTCTTATGTAGATTCCGAGTACTCTTCTGGGCAAAGCAGATTCCACAAATATTACAGGCATATGGTTTTTCTTTTGTGTGGACACGACTGTGTAGGTTCAGTGCCATTGGGGTTTTGAAGTTCTTATCACAATGTGGACACTGAAACGGTCTGTTCTCTGTGTGGGCAATCATATGCTTCTTCAAATGGACAGGAAAACGAAACATTTTTCCGCAAACACTGCACATAATCTGTTCCTTCTTGTTTTGGTTCTCCTTCCTGATATCTGATCCAGACTTGTTACTGTTTAGTTTAGCACTTTTGTCATCATCATTACTGTCAGTTCTTTCAATGCTTTTGTTAATCACTTCCAAACTTGTCAAGCTTTTGTCTTCATCAGACGTGTCATCTTGTAACACACCATCTTCAATAAGAGGCTCAAATGCTGTTTTACATCTTTCACACTTGTGAACTTTTAAGTCATGTAGACCAAAGCCTTTGCCGCATGTATCACAAACATGACATTTTTCCTCAGACCTGATTTCAGGAGTGCCCTGACCTGGATGAGATTCTGTCATCAACTTGGTGTCTGAATCATCCGGCTTTGAAAGTTCTGGTGGAGGTATGTGGTTTGGGACTGTAGTGATCACCACTGTGTCCAAATCACTTGGCATTTGCATGTTTGGCAAAGTTTTGGGTTGATATTTGGCTGTAGTGATCACTAATGTGTCCAAATCACTTGGCACGCCTGACACAGTTTTGTGATTTTCGGTTGCGGTGATGAATATTGTATCAGAATTACTTTGCACAAGGATGTTTGGCATAGTTTCATGTTGACTCTCCTGTTGCAGAGCTGTATGTTTGCAGTGTAATTGTTTTTCTTCACCGCTATACTGACAGCTCACATCCCGAACAACATCCCGGATGATATTGTGCTCGAGCAGAGACTTTCCAGAATCATGAAATTCAACCAGGTTCAACACTTGATGGTGGGTTCCTTCCTCAGATGAGTCTCCTGCAGAGACCGCAACACTGATATCCTCCATCTCACCAGCACCATCAACTGGTTGTACAGGAACTTCCTTCATCACAGATATATACCTGTCATGTTCTCCACTCCCTTGATCAGCCTTGTCTTGCTGGCTTTCAGGATGAGTTTCTTCACTTCGAGGATAGCCAATAAAATCATCACTACATCCATCATCACTGTCACACTCACCACGATCACCTCCATCGTCTTCTTCAGGATCAATGTAAGGTGTCTCAACCACCTGCTTCAACACAACATCTGAAGAACCTTTTCTCGCATGACCACTGTCTGAATCAACACACTTTGCAACAGTCTCATGCTGTGTGGATATCTTCCTCTTCTTCTCGTGGACCAACAAATGCTTTTTCAAATACTGAGCCCGGTAGAACGTCTTCCCGCACTGCTCACACTCAAAAGGCTGTTCCCCTCTGTGGTACCTCATGTGTACTTTGAGGTCACATGCTAGGCGGAACATCTTCTCACACATCTCACACTTGAATGGACGGACATCTGTATGAACCAGTTGGTGATGTCCAAGAGCAGACTTCTTCGCGAAGCTTTTCCCACAAATTTCACACATATGTGACTTCTCTGAGCTGTGTACAGCCATGTGCTCCTTCAGCCCACCAGCATAGAAGAAGGTCTTCTCACAAATGGTACAGCTGTGCTTCTTGTTACCTGTATGATTAGCTATGTGGCTCTTCAAGGTTTTCTTGGCCGAAAGACACTTCCCACATAGATGACATCTGTAGGGCCTTTCTATGAGATGGGTGTTCATGTGTTCTTTGAGCTGGTATGACTCCTTAAAGGTCTTGCCACAAGTCTCACACCGGAAAGGACGGTCGCCGAAGGGCAAATGAAGCAGCATGTGGCTTTCAAATTCATTTTTACCTGTAAAAGTCTCAAAACAGAACTCACAGGCATGGCTTTCATTCTTTACACTGACAAGAGCTTCAGCTCTGTCTTGTCCTCTAGTGTCAACTGATGTGACTACTGATTTGTCCATCTTAACTGTACCACTGTCTGTTCTTGTTTGTCTCTGGTTCCCCTTCTGCGCCATGATTGACTTCTCAGTTCTGTCTTGGGCTGGCTCAGTCGGACTTTTCTTTTGCCTATTCTCATGGTTCAGTATGTTGTGAAGAGTCAACTGTGGTCTGAGAGAGTTTGGTTTTACACCCTTTCTAGAAGTATTGTTGCAATATCACGACAGGGGACACCAGAAATGGGCTTCACACATTGTTGGGAATCGAGCCATGTGGGGAATCGAACCAGGGTGTTTTAGAGTGATGAGCGAATGCTTTAACCACAAGGCTATCCTTCCACCTCTGCCCTGGACAGTCTATGAAAGTCTTCCACCTGCAACAAAAGAAGTCCCATTTTAGTCTTCATCAACAAAGGACTTCCTAACTGGAAAGTATTTCTGTGTGTTTTAGAGAAACCATAGCTTGGATCATTCAAACAAAGTCTATGCTGATGTGATCACTGGACTGTCTGGTCCAGACTCAATATTTACAAACCTTCACTATATAAATGGATGGGATCGATCCCCACAAGGGTTCCAAGTGTACCCTCCTGTCATATTGTTGGAATATTGCTAAATGCAGAATAAAATCTTACTCACTCACACAACTAAAAGCAGTGTAAAAGTAACCTCACTCACTCACTTGAAGATTCATGAGAAGACTTGGTATAAAATCCAAGTTAATGAGTGAGAGTGAGTGAGTGAGTGAGTGAGTTTAGGTTTACAGGTTTTCAGCAATATTTCAGCAATGTCACAGCAAGGGACCCCAGAATGGGCTTCACACATTGTACCCTTGTGGGGAATAAGACCAGTGCCTTCGGTGTGACAAGTAAAGGACTTAACCACTAGGCTACCCAACCACCCCAAAATCAAAGTTAAGGTCGCAGGGATAGACTGAGAATGATTTTTTAAAACAGCCCAGTAGTATCACTAGCTGGGAGGACAAGGATGAGGGTTTGCGTGGGGATCGGGGAAGGCGATTCTGATGCTGGAAGGGGTGAGGACACTAGAAATGGGCATCACACATACGCTATTGATGTCTTGAAACATACCATATCTGTCAGAGAATTCATACACAGACATGCTAAAAAAATTGATATTTTAGGGTTAGAGCAAGCTAGTACATGTCTATTTCCGTAATGTTTTAACATTTTAAGTAGGCACTGTATTCAAGAAAACAATAGTACACAATCTGTAAACTACAAAATGGCAACAATCAAGAAGCAAGATTATGGTGGACAAAGAAAATCAATTTTTATGATTTAGAAATGTATTATTTTTTTTATATGAGTGAGTGAGTATGGTTTTATGTAATATTCCAGAAAATCATGGCAGAGGAGACCAGAAATGGGCTTCACACATTGTACCCATGTGGGGAATCGAACCCGGGTCTTCAGCGTAATGCTTAAACCACTGGGCTACCCCACCACCCCATTTATAATGACAACCTTCCCTATTTCATTTTGGGGTCATATAATAATAGTCACTATCATGCAAATTATCATGTGTGTGATTTGTTGACAAACACTCCATTCAATCATCTGTAGAAGACAAATGGAAGAGCCATTTTTCATAAATTTTGAGAAACTGAGAAATTGTTATTAAACCCAGGATTATTAGTATGTACTGCAGGCTGAATATTGGCTTCTGAGCAGCTCTAGATAAATCCCTGATAAAATCCAACCCTGTAAACTTAAAATGGTGTCGTCATGCTTCTGGCAATAATCCAGCATATAGCTGGGGCACCCGAAATGGGTTTCTAATATTGTACCCATGTGGGGAGTACTTGGCATGACGAGCAAATGCTTCAACCACTCAGCTACCCCACCACACATCAGATTAGAAGGCTTCAGTACTTTTGAAGGGGTACTACCGATATGTACCCCAGGTATGTTTCTGTATACATAACAAACCCTAGCCATATATCAGAATACATTACATATACCCGTTTCCTAAACAACAGACGCGTTCATATTATAGCTCCGAAGACGGTTCATGTTATAGCTCCCGTTTGCCTGCTTACGAGTGATGCCTAATGTGCATCGCGACATTGTGTATGCTCGTTAAATATTTCACTCTCGTAATCTTGATTCATGGATATATGGGAAGTGCTGCAAAAATCCTATTTTAAATGCACGATTTCATTTTGTATACTCCCTGATTCAATTACTTCTTCACTGATTCAGCAAATGGAAAATGCCTAATATTCTGCGCGTGAATGAAACATTTGTTTACCGAAGCCATTTGCAATCACCGCCCATTCATGTGCACACAAAATGTGACGTTACCTTGTTTCATGGATTACATAGTTGGTTACTATATATCACTGTGTATGACAGTCCATTGCAGTAAGTACTGACACCTATGAAAGCAGACGACGAGATGTGAGAAGGTTGATGCCTACGCTATCTTTTTTACTTGACATTTTGTAAAAATATAAATTGGTATTAGTGGCATTAGTGATCTTTTGCTATAAACAGCGAACTGAGATAATTTTATCTCAGTGCTGGACAATTAGATTTAGCGTACAAGTGTAATGCAGAGATTCGGAACATTTTTGTCAGTGAGGCGTGGGAGTGTATGTACATCAAAAGTCCCACGTCATGCAAGACTTGATTTGATCGCATAAGGTACGTATCTGTAGTACTTGTGACGACATGGATCCCTGCAACCACCAATATCTGTATGTAGGATTTAGTCTGAGCCAGTGAGGGTTTACATTTATATCATGACTACATCTGTGTGCTCAAATTACTGACATCATTACCTTTTCTAGTCTTAGTAAGGAGTTCCTTCCGTTCCCTCAACCCTAAATCTAACTCTAAACCTAACCCTAACTTAAATTTTGGACTCTTAGTAATTTTGTGAGTTCTCTAGTAATTGTTGTGTTAAGTTTTGTTAATAATTTTTGTATGTTTATAAATATTATTTGGGATGGGGGAACGGGAGGAACTCTTACCCTTAGGGATCAAATTAATCAAATACCACACACAGTAATGCTAAATCTGAAATGCACAAAGGAAAAGCTACATGAAATGAATATATTTCCTGGTGACACAAATTCTCGGCATGGTATATAAACAGGGGAGGTAACTCCATTCAAAAACGCGGTCGATGGTCCGACGCGAAAAATATTGTCATCTGCTATCTCTCATTAGTCAATAACTGCTTGCTGTCAGTTCCACATATAAACCTAATGGCAATCATCAGATCAGTACATATTGCGTCATATCACGTTTAACTATGGTGCAGTTCGCGTGCTGGTGTTCGACACGGACACTTGTAGATCATTTTCACCTGTCTGATAATGCCATCTGTGCTGTTATTGGGGGAGAGCTGATCAAAATGTCACAAGTCCTGGCTAAAATGGATATTCTGTTTTGTTTCTGTAATGCATAGTTTAAATAATTAGCTACGATAATCGTAATGATATAATTCTGAACAAATACAAGCAAACTTACGTTGAATAACGACGCGAAACTGGAAGCCGGAAATTGTACTTTACGGTTGTACTTTATTCGAAGGATTGTTGCCATGCTTCTTTGGTGTAGACTAATGAACCTCGGCTCCCTTCTATTACAGGATCAAGTTTGCCTTATTGTTTAACGCCGCACTCACAGGCGCGTAGCTAGCCATTTTTTCGTGTAAGCCCTATAGGTTGCAAAGCTTTATATTTCAATAGTGTTGAGGGCTTGCCCAACTTTTTCAGCAAATCATGCGTAAGCCCTAGTGGTGTTTCGATTAATTGAAATAATCGGAGATTAGTCGCAGTGACCAAACGACCAAGCAATCGATCACATTTTCTCATAATCGAACATAAACGATTTTGGAACTACTGTTTTAGTCTTTAAAATACTTGACAATGGAACATATCGTTGAAGTGTCAGGACCTGAAAACGTGTTTAATTCTTAGAAAACTCACTTCACTAACAGAAAAGCCATGACTGAATATTTCTTAAAGACTCCGGGAAGTTTATGTTCATGATATATTAGTCATCACTTTAAAGTAGCAAGTTGCATCATGTTATACATATCTGCAATAACAACCTGGATAGGAAAATCTGTAAAATGACGCTAACCAATTTTTTTCGATGATTGTTCGTTGGTAATGAATCAATCATCAATTGTGAGATTTCAACCAATTCCCAACACCAGTAAGCCCCTGACTCAGCAATATTCCAGGTATATGGCGGCGGTCAGTAATTATCGAGTCTGGACCCGACAATCCAGTAATCAACAGCATGAGCATCGATCTAACCAGCTGTGAAATTGTGACAAGTGTCAACCAAGACAGCGAGCATGACCACCCGATATCGTTGGTCGCCTCTTACAACAAGCATCTGGATTGCTGCAGACACCAAGTGATGATGTCAGTTTAAAAGCTTTCACTATATTATACCCAACTAATACATAACATTTTCAAAACATTTTCATGAGGTTTCATGACAAGTTTTTCAATATATTTTCGTCATAACGTTTTTATAGTGTTTTAAATATGTTTCAGTGAGTGAGTTAATAATTCGCGCCACATCGGCCACAGTTCAACGATATCGTGACAAGGACAGAACCTATAGTAAGACGGATAAGTTTAGAACATAAAAACCAGTATTTCATATATGGATAGACCTTGTAATGTTACCACAGGCGGACCCAGATGGGGCGTACTCCCCCCCCCCACACACACACACACACGCACACACACACCCCATCCCACCCTTTCTCAAAAACTGTATCCGCCCCTAGTTTTATATTCATCTTCTGATACTGAGAATACGAAGAAAATAAACTTGACTATACACTGATGATGTCCTTCTCAGCGGCTGCCTGGTGTTAGTGAGTGAGTGAGTCACTGAGTGAGTTACGCCGATTTAGCAATATCACGTCGGAGAGACCAGAAATGGACTTTGCACATAGAACCCTCGTGGGGAATCAAACCCGGATATTCGGCGTGACGAGCGAACGCTTTAACCATTAGGCTACACCACCACCCCACCTTATAGTCCGTTTGACTTCATTTTGGACCGATGAATTGCTCACTAACACAAAATCTAATAATTGCAACAAAACTAAATTTTGCACAGTCACATGAAACCGGCAGACCAACTCTGATGATTTGTCTCATAATTTTTGACATCCGAATAAAAAAATTGTTTAACCAACGATCGTTATTTTGTTGTCCCATTTCGCTATTTCATACAAGGAAGAACCACTTTAATCCGATTTTAATGGTTATTTTTTATTTTGATGCTCCCTTATTTTTTCGAATTTTACAGCTCGTGTTTCCCTATAATAGGAAGTGCGCGTGACGTTAAAGAATATGATTGGTAGATGTCCAGTATTCTGTAGGTGTACCGCTCTTTAGTGCAATTATCCCATACATGACACACGTAGTCGAACATTAGTAAAATAAATGATTTGTACATTGTCTGCAGCGTTTTCCTGTTATGTGATATTTAAAACTTCTTAGGCAGTTTATCATTGGACTGACTTTTTTTATGACATTTTCGATTTGGCTATGCCATATACAATCTTGTTGAAGAACTATACCCAAATGTTTGTGGGATGAGACGTCGTTTATGTTAGTGTTATCCATAGATAAGACTGGTTTGGTATTCTCAGTATGTTTACGGGTAAATTGAATAGAGACCGTTTTATTTGGATTAAAATCAACTTGCTATTCTTTAGCCCAGTCTGATATTACAGATAAATCATTATTCAGGCATTGTGCTGCTACATTCGGATCGTTTATTACTACATAGAGCGAAGTGTCATCAGCAAATAGACGTATATTGCTGTCAATGTCATCGACGATATCGTTGATATAAACTAAGAATAATAGCGGTCCTAGGACGGAACCTTGTGGGACGCCAGCTGTAACTGGTTTTAATTTGGAACTGAAGCCGTTTTCAGTCAGTTTAATGTGGATGTACTGATCTAAACTTACGTTGGTAGTAGAAATGCGACGTTCATATAGCCTCATATAGTTTACATTAATTACAGATGTAATTAAAATAATTTAGAGTGAGTGAGTTAAAATTTATAGTCACATCGGCAATATTTCAGCCATATCGTGACTAATTCAAGTTATAGATTTACAATAATTAAAAGTAAATTTTAAACATCTGTCAATGAAGGACAGTAAAACAAGTAGATTATCACAGTAAGTTAATATTAAATAATTTAGAGAAGATATTTGACCATCTAGAGTAGACATCTAGAGTAGATTATCCGCAACGTTATTTAAGCCTAATCAGAACCTAACCTTCAAAGGAAACCGCAGGTCGGTGTCCTGAGACTAGTGGAAAATCGAAAGGTCGGCGACACCGTCTCAGGACGCCGACCTGCGGTTTCCTTTGAAGGTTAGGTTCTGATTAGGCTTAAAGGTCACATGCAACCCAAAAATCAAACGTAATTAAAACACAATTATCTCTTATTCATGACATATAATATACATTGATGGTAATGCAAAAACATATAAACAAAATTATAAGCGTACAATCGCAAATCAAAAGTGCAAAATTGTGTACTTGGGTTTACTTCCCAAGAAACGAAGCAGCCGGGATACCGAACCCAGTCAGAGCGGGTGGGTGTGCACTCAAGTGTAACGGCTGGTTCATTTGCAGATGCCTTCACGGCCCATTGTGTGTGTATATATAGAGATGTGCGGTTTTGTAAATACATGCTCATTTTTTGTGTATAACATTTTGCAATCAACAGACATCATAACATGTCATGTGTTCAAGTATCACACCTGCCTGTCTGTGTAATTACATAATGTGACAGAGACCGAACTCGGGCCATAAATCAATGCATTTTGTTTATGGTGTATAGCCTGATTGGTGTTAAGTTCAAATTGCATGTGGTCAGTGATAGCAGCTGTGTATTGAATATTGTCAGACAGGCAGGCAGACACACAGGTGTCAATAAAATAAGACATCGAGTTTTGTCTGTGACAACGACATATCTACATCACAGTTAGAAATTCTGTACAACGCTAAATAATGACATTGCTTTTAAGTATCGAACTGAGAAAGTGACTCGGTAAGAAGAACGTGTAGTGAAATAGACAAATGAAATTATATAAACAGTTAATTTACTATCATAACATATAAAAAGCTCGCGCCTGTGAGATATCAACAAAACATTAGAAAAATAGCTCACACCAAAGCCTTCACCGAGTATTCACCCGACAACCCGCTTCCAAGCTGCGCGAACCTATTTCACTGCGCACGTGCTATGAGCGCAGCCCAGCTGTTGAAACCCGTTTTCCCCAGAAAAGTCGGGGGAAAATTAGTGAAACGTTTGAACTACGATTTCGCGCGTTTTTTTTCATCGCGTTATTTTTGAACTTTATAAGTTGAATTTGCATTTTTGACGATTTGTTTCGGTAAGTCCATACCGAAAGGTATCAGCATCTGCAAAGTTGTGTTTTACGTTGCATGTGACCTTTAAGTAACGTTGCGGATAATCTACTCCAGATGTTTTCATAAGGTGAACTCGTCGCACATGTCACTTCCAATTGATTGAAAAGTTTACAATAACACTTAGCAGAGTGCCAATATTGAACTCTGTTCATATCTTTGGTATAAATATCTATGGAATGGCCAATGGATTCACATTCGATTTCGAAATGGCAAATGCACAGCTAGATCAGAGATTCATCCCTACAGCTCGCGGCAGTCGTTACTTGGTTGTTGGCGGGTTCATGTACAGAGTCAGCAAGAGAAAACGAGACTGGATATCTTGGATATGTACTGCAAAAGACTGCAAATCCACAGCATCAACAACGAATGACATCGTCACCATGGTGAAAGATGAACACAATCATCACACTGTCACGAGTGCTATTAAGGTAAGAGTATAAATATTATTCAATGATTGCCACATTTTTGTCAAATTTTATAACAGTGTTTCAGTAAGCTGCTTAATGTTAAAATCTGTCAACTGAGTGTTTCAGGTATGGAAATAAACTGATAAAAATCTAAACTGTTGTCATCTTCTCATTAGGTGTGCTCTCATCCGCATTATCCGGATTATCCTCCTCTAACAACTCGTTGATCCTTCATTGTCCTCGTAATCCATTATTAATTGGCAAAATGAAACTAGTCTCAGGACGTCGACCTTCATATTTCACTCAACCGTAAAGTTTGGTCGAAAGGTCGTCGTTATGAGCCTGAACCCCTGAGACTAGTGGAAAATCGGACGTCCTGAGACGACACCAACCGAATAATCACAGTTGCAAAATCTATTGATCCCTAACCACGTAGTGCACCCGACCTGTTGCTTCCTTGTTAATGCTTCATATATTAATATCATTGTGTCGAACTGAACGTCCCTTTACCAACAAGTCTGTTAATCAAGTCACATGGACCCCCACGAGAGCTACTAACAATGTCTGAGAAATGATGATTAGCATACGACATTAATGGCTGATTACACACAGCCGTAAACAAAGACACGGCATTGATGTGCATGTTATAGTCCGTTATGCCTTAATCTACAAAGCCAAATTATAATAAG